AAATTCAATGAAGTAACTGCCACATTATCTGCTGGTCCTGATTTTAGCCTTTTAAAATTCATTCAGAGAAAGACTCAGTTACTTGTAACAATTTGGAATTTTCCTCTGTTATCTCATTTTATATAATGAATATTGGTTACAATAAATGTACAAATTGAAACCTATGGAGACAACCACCTATCAAATTGGTGAATTACACCTGCTTGTGTGTAAAACTGTTGAAGCTGCACTTAGTCCTGACATTCAATGTTGTTGTCAATATGTGTGGAATTAACTTTTTAATTTTCTCTTATTTGTATTTGTCTCTCTCTTTTTTTTTTTTTTTTTGGAGAGGTTTTTGCTATAGGGCGTGTGCGCTCGCCAGACAGAGAGAGACAGAGAGATAGAAAGTGAGAAATCACTCCCCAGGGGGGATGGCCACGCCACAATCCCTTCTCCTCCATTCTCCTCTCAGGATCTTGGGCATGCACACACACATGCCCAGTGTGAGTTTAAGCCACCAGGTCCAGGTCTCGAACTGCGGTTGACTACGTGGGAGTCGAGCAACATAGCCATTACGCTAACTGCTGGCCCCACTCTTTAGCTTCCCTAGTGTAGTAGTCCCTTAAATATTTCCTGAAGAGCCAGTTTCATTATGGTGAAATCTTTCAGCATTTGTTTATCTGGGAATGATTTTATTTCTCCTCATTTGAAGGAATAATCTTGCCAGGTGTAGTAATCTCAGCTGCAATTGCTTTTCTTTCAGAGTTTTAAATATGTCTTCCCATTCTTTCCTTGCCTGCATTGTTTCAGTTGGGAGATCCAATGTTAGTCTAATGGAGTAACTTTTCTAAGTAACTTGGCATTTCTCTTTTGCCATTTTTAGAATACTGTCTTTATCTTTGATTTTTACCAATTTGGCTATGATATGCCTTGCAAAAAATCCTATATCTACTTGGTGTCCTTTGTATCTCCTGGACTTGGATGACTGTATGCCTCTCTAAATTTGGAAAGTTTTTAGCTAACATATCATGAAACATGTTTTCTATGCATTTACCCATCTCTTTACCTAGAATACCTATTATGAGAATATTCAGCTGTTTAACAGTATCTAGGATTTCTTGTATAGAGTCCTCATTTTTAGGGACCAGCAGATGGCGTAATGGTTATGTCACTGGACTCCCACATAGTCAACCGTGGTTCGAGTCCCGGACCTGGTGGCTTAAACTCACACCGTGTGTGTGTGTGTGTGTGTGTGTGTGTGTGTACAAGATTCCAAGAGGAGAAGGGATTGTGGTATGGCCATCCCTGCTGGGGGTTGATTTCTCACTTTCTGTCTCTCTGTCTCTGTCTTTCTGGTCAACACACACACTCTATAGCAAAAATCTCTCTCTTTTTTTTTTCTATCCTTTTTGGTTGCTTGGACTAAATCAGAGGTCTTATCTTCAAGATCAGTGATTCTTTCTTCTGCATTATCTAATCTACTATTGATACTTTCAAGAGTTATTTTGATTTCCTGCATCATATTCTTTATCTCCAGGAATTCTATTGGATTCTTTTTCAGTTTGTCTATCTCTTTATGAAGTTCTTCCTTCAAGTCATGGAAGGATTTTCTCATCTCCTGGAATTGGTTGTTTTCTCTTGCATCTCATTGAGTTTTGTTACAATAAATATTCTGAATTCTTTTTTCCACCATGTTTGTGATCTCTTGTGTTTTATCCATTGTTGATGAGGAATTATGATTCTTGGGGAAGGCATTTCCTGCTTTTTTCCTATTTCTTAGGGCTCTGCTTTGATTTTTAGTGACTGGTAGTATCCTCATCTTTTCCTACTTCCTTGGAGTATGTTTCTGTGGCTGTGAACACCCATACTTCTCAATGACATGCTAATCTCTATGCCAATTTCCCTCCTCTACTGTGGGTGGGAGTGTGGAACCCACAATAGGAGTCTCTGGTTCAGGTTTTCAGTTTCTCTCCTTTTACTGCTAAAGGAGTTATGGGGAAAGAATTCCTCCAGAGTTTCCTATTTTCAGGTGTTTGATTCTTGTATACCCAAACCTAATGCTCCTAATGTGGGTAGCGGTTGAGCTGACAGGCAGAATGAAGGTGGTAGACCACAGGAGAATCCCTCCTCCCACACAGTAGGACAGGGGTCTCTCCTGAGAAGCTCAAGCTGAGTGGCTTTGCTTTGGCCTGCCTGTTGGTGCTTCTGTCTCTGGGATTGGAGAGATGAGCCTATTAAGGTGACTAAGGTCCTGTATACTCCATCGAAGTCCTGCAGATGAAGAGGAGTCACTGAAGGATTTAAGGAAAATGATGGTGATATGCTCAGACTTTCATTTTATAAAGTCATTGTAGTGGCAATATAAAGAATGAAATGTAGCAACCTTGGGGTAGGAAATGACCCATCAAGAATAAAGAATGGTAAAATAAATTTAAAAAAGAAAGAAAGAATGAATGATAAGGCTTGAAGTAGACAAGTTAGTCAATAGTTCATCTTAATGTTTCGAGGGTTTGTAAAATGTCTGAACTTTGGCAGCTAGAACAGGAATTATAAGGAAGGGATGGCTCCCAGATATACAGAAAAACACTTAAATATCAGGTGACATAAGGAATGGGGGAGTTGCAGGATGAACCAGGGTCACTTACAGACAGATGGTTACAGAGGGAGTCAGGACAGAAGGTCTATTTGGAATTTATCTGTGAATAAGTGACAGATGATGATCTAGAAGTGGATGGGATCAGCCAGGGAAAATGTAAAGAAAAGCACACGCACAGAACCTAGGGGCATCCCCTACCTAAGAAAAAGAAGTAACCACAGCAGGACATTGAAATGACTGAAGAAGCAAATGGTCCATAGATTCAGGGTCCTGGATGACTCACAGATACCTTAGCGCCATTCTGACGAAAGTTAAGACTATAAGCAAAGTGCTCAGATCCTCACCAGACAGGAAGCTGGTGACCTGGAGAACAGAACTGTAGCTCAAGAGGACCAAGGGGAAGGTGAGTATACAACAATAAAGGAACAGATATGTGTGTAGACAAGTAACTAGAGACTTGCATTTGTGGTGATCCAAAGGATATGGAGTTTTGTAAGGCATGGTTGGAATCAGCAAGCTTCAGGGTCCCAATGAAACCAGAAAATGTATACCCTGTGGCGCTCTTGAAGTGCTGACTGGTTCCAGTATTGTACCCCATGAGCAACACAGCCATTATGATCAACGAGCAACACCTTTACTACTGGAGATGATGCCGAGTTATCCAACACGAGGGTTTAAGAAGAGACATTAAACTCATGTAACCTTCATCACCACTTCAGGCACTACTATAACCCCCCTTTTGTAGATGAAAAAACAACACAGAGGAAGCCTACTCAGAGTTGTACACCTAGTAAGCCTCCTGTCCTCATAGAAAACATGGAAACTCGGAAATCATACACAGGGAAAAAAGTTCAAGTTAAACATACAATTTTTTTTGTTTGTTTTTGGGAGAGGTTTTTGCTATAGGGAACGTGTGCTCGCCAGACAGACAGAGACAGGCAGACAGAAAGCAAGAAATCACCTCCTCGCCCCAGGGGGGATGGCCATACCACAATCCCTTCTCCTCTCAGGATCTTGGGTACGCATGCAGATGCGCCTGGCATGAGTTTAAGCCACTGGGTCCGGGACACAAACCACAGTGGACTACGTGGGAGTCCAGCGACATACCCTTTATGCTAACTGCTAGTCTTGACACATGATGTTTTGAGGATAAAACTGATGGTATGGTGTTAGTTTCTCAGTACCAGACTTATCAAAGCAGAGTTGCATGTCTATGGCTATCAGTTATCCCTGTTCTCACAGAAACACACCCCCAACCCAGGGAACAGATATTGGCTCTGCAGCCAACTCTGCCTAACCAGCATATTCCTGCCACTGCAGGCATTCTGTGTTGCTGCGTCACACTCAATCAGCCAGGCGAAATAGCCCTTTCGCTAACTGCTGGTTCCCTTTTTTTTCTTTTTTTTTTTTTTTTTTTTTGGAGGTAACTGCTGGTCCTGACATATGATGTTTTGAGGATAAAACTGATGGTGTGGTGTTACAGTTTCTCAGTACCAGACTTATCAAAGCGGAGCTGCATGTCTATGGCTATCAGTTATCCCTGTTCTCACAGAAACACACACCCAACCCAGGGAACAGATATTGGCTCTGCAGCCAACTCTGCCTAACCAGCATATTCCTGCCACTGCAGGCATTCTGTGTTGCTGCGTCACACTCAATCAGCCAAGTGTGATCCAGGGAAAGCGTGCCTCGGCCCCATCTCCCTTCTTCATCTTCTGGAGTGTTTCGGTCTTTGCCTTCCTGGTATGGACACTTTTAAAAATGGCATCCAATATGATAAAAAGATATGTTTTTCTCTCTACAAAAACTAAAGAGGTTTGTTCCATCCTCTTCACTATGTCTTTGGACATAGTGAACATTTCTCTGACATCCCCAAGTTAGAATTCCATGCAGCTGAAGTAACTTCCTTTGTGATAGAAAGGGCTAAATAGTATTGGTATTATTTTTGCTAAATAGCTGAGAAGATGTCTGGTCAGATAAGATGGCTCTATCCTAGCCAATGTAAACATTTCTAGATGTATCAGTATTGGCATCTCTACAATCCCCTTTTGTCAAACAGAGATACACATTCATTTCCTCTTCTACCACTTTCGAGTATGTGTTACAACTGTATATTAAGAAGAGATGATAATTATCAAACCCTGATGTTATAAAAGCAGATGGGGCCATGGAAGACAATAAATAGCTAATGAGGCCTCGACAATTCCTAGCTGCTTAAAGTTGGGTGATTATTTATGTATCTGAATACCTGCTATCTTGTGTTTTTCTGTTTATTTTTTTTTTCATTCTGATAAGATTGCTATTCTGGTCTTTGCTATTCTGTAAGAGGTTTTTTTATTTTAAGCAATGACATAAAAAATAAAAGATGATTTTTCAGAAAAGTAATCGGACACTACATAACTGAAAATAATCAACAATTTACCTTGAAAGCATCATCATTTTGAGTTTAGTTATAGTAAATCCAGATTTGTTTATTATTTCAATGATTTCTCCAGCCTTTGATATTGCATCTGGTTTAATCAGGGCTAATGTCCTAGAAGGAAAAAAATAAATAGATTTGAACATACAATTAACTTAGCAGTTTTTATTTATAATTCCAAAGCAGGGATAGTTTCCTAGAACACTGAACATTGAAATTAATAATATAGAAGTTTGTATTGAAGATGTCTCTTTAAACTTACACAACAGACACCCAGCGTGATAGCCCAGGCTACTAGGAAGCCATGCTCCTCTGGCTGTGACCACATGGAAAGCCCATTTCAACGTCTGGTCTACCCTACAGAGCAGGCACAATAATGTGCACCTGAAATCCCAGGGAGGAGGATTGTAAGCTGGAGGCTGGTCTGGACCACATATGGACACTCTGTATAAGAGACAGGGTGGTGGCTGATGCTGGGGGGTCCCAGCTGGAGGCTGAGGCAGGAGGATCATGACATAGTGAGATTCTGCCTTAAAAAAAAAAGTACAGGGAAAAAAAAAAAGTACAGGGAAGCGTATTGTTTTCCTAAGAAAATCAAATTAGACACACAATCAAAAAAAAAAAAAAGAAAAAGAAAAAAAGAACTTAAGGAAAAAATTAATATTGTAACAATCAAATTAGAAAATATGTGTTTAAAATCAAAAAAAAAAAACTTAAGGAAAAAATTAATATTATTTTAACACTCAAATTAGAAAATATGTGTTTAAAACTTCTTTCTTAAAATACATTTTGGGGACCAGCAGTTAGAGTAATGGCTATGTCATTGGACTCCCATGTAGCAGACCGCAGTTTGAGTCCCGGACTCAGTGGCTTAAACTCACGCCAGGCGCATGTGCGTGCGTGCCCAAGATCCTGAGAGGAGAATGGAAGAGAAGGGATTGTGGCGTGGCCATCCCCTCGGGGGGTGATTTCTCGCTTTCTATTTCTCGATCTCTGTCTGTCCGGCGAGCGCACGCGCTCTATAGCAAAAACCTCTCAAAAAAAAACCCAAAATACATTTTGTACAAAGAACTAAACTGTTAACAGTTGCATTAAATATATTATGATCTTGGTTTTGGTCTCTTAGACCTTAGCACATGTATGCTATGCAGTCAGGTCATAACTGTGATTATCAGTTCTTGTACAGGCTCTTTATTTGTAGCAAGGATGGTGCACCGAGAACCAAAGGCCTCTCCCTCAGTCATGCAGGAATAGGAAGCACCATGCTAACCTTTAAGTCACACCATCCTCCAGAGGTTACCATACAGCAATACACCGCTCCCTCTGAAGTCTCGGGGATTAGCAGTTTGGGAGATGGTGGTTACCTAAGTGTCCTCATTTTACTGATGAGGAAACTAGGCCTAGACAGGTAGCATGCCAGAGGTCACACTGCTGGTCAGGACACACCAGATCTGAGCCCCTCCCACATTACAATGTTACCACTCAAGTTACTATAATGCAGCATCAGCAAATCCTGGAGACAGACTGTCCTTCCAGGCCACAGGCAAGCACTCCAACTAGAAGTCTCTGGTCAGCAAGGGACTCTGAGGGAGGGTCATCTCTGACCCCCACCCCACTTCCAGTCTCCCCAGCCCCAGACTCCACCTTCTTGACTGTCTTTCCAGGCCGCAGGCAACCGCTCCAACTAGAAGTGTCTGGCGAAATCATGTGCTGCACGATTTTTCTTTATCTCTCTCTGTTGTCTTTCATTTCATTTCATCTTATCCTCTCCCCTGCACTTCTTACCCTGGCAGAGGGACTAGACAGGTCTAGAATCACACATCTGAAATCCCGTAATAACGCAAGTGTCTCTGGGATCCTCCCTTGTACTGATCAGCCTGCGAGAACAGAGTTACTGCTTTTTAGACACCTCAGTAGAGTTCGTCTCTTGAGATCTCAATGGTAAAAACAACTAAAGAGAGACTTCGGCAAACATCTATTCCCGGCCAAAAAGAAACACTCCTACTCCTACTGGGAGAAACATTCCCCTAAGAGGTTTTCAAAGGGAATACATCTTCCAATGG